CCCCCCCTGCCCTCCCTGGCCAAACCCCTTCCTTCCCTTACCAGCCTCACCTCCCTCTGGGAACCTCTTCCTTCCAAGACCTCCCCAGCGCCCCTCCCCAGGCCTGCACCTCTGCCCGCCAGCAGTGCTCAGCCAACCTCCCCTCTTCTTCCTCCCTCCTTCAGTACAGCTGACTGAAGGGCCCCTGCGCTGGTACAGCGACCCAGGCCTGGCAGGGGTGTTCCTGGGGCCCGGCCTGAGCTACGACCAGCACTCGCGGGAGCTGATGGTGGCAGAGCCTGGCGTCTACTATGTTTTCTTGCACCTGAAGCTGCAACGGGTGGTATCCAGCTTCGGCTCCGGCTCTGTCTCCGTTGCCCTGCACCTGCAGCCCCTGGGCGCTGGGGCTGCGGCCCTGGCCCTGACCTTGGACCTGCCGCCTCCATCCTCCAAAGCCCCGGACTCCGCCTCTGGTTTCCGAAGCAGCCTGCTGCACCTGGGCGCAGGCCAGCGCCTGGGCGTTCACCTGCGCGCAGAGGCGGGGGCACACCTTGCCTGGCAGCTTGCGCAGGGCGCCACGATCTTGGGCCTCTTCCGAGTGGCCACCAAAGTCCCTGCTGGACTCTCCCTGCCGCCATGGCCCATTGACACTGGGCCCGGGTACCCCCCGCCGGACAGAGAATGAATGCTGCCTTCTTTCACCGGGGCTCTTGGTGACGCCCGGCCACTCTACCTCACCCGGCTTGGCAGGGGTCCCCGCTGCTGACCCCCTCCTCGAGGACTCTCCAATGGGACTCTCTCCCACTCCTGCCTCAAGTCGAACTTTTGGTATTTATTCTGAGCCTGAGCTCAACGGCATACTTTATATTAGTCCATTGTATTAATCCATTCAATGTATATTTATTGAACATCTTCTATATGCCAGGCCCTGTGCAGGGCTGGAGACAGAGCAGCAAACAACAGGAAAAAACAAAACAAAACAAAAAAACTATTTATGTCAATATGTGAGAAATAAAGACTCATCTACAGCCCTGCTGCGGCTTTCAAGGGGCTAGTCTTTGGGGGGTCCGTGTGACTACGCTGTGTGACCTTCACGCATGGAGTTTGTTTTGAGCATCTCCTGTGTCGTCAGGCACTGTTTGAGATGTTGGGGACACAGCCCTGAGCAGGCCAGATAGCCCAGCTTTTGCCAAGCTGGCCGTCAGGTACGCCCGCTTGACCCTGTTAACCATGACTGCGTGCGACCCTGTATGACCAGACCACGTGGGGGGCGTGAGGTGGGGCGTGGCACGGGGTTAAACAGTACTTACAAACTTAATGACTACGAAATATTGAGGCTTTGTTGCATGCCAGGCAGCGTGAGTTACCTTCTATGAGACCTAACTATCCTATACTTTAGGGATTTCTTTCCCATCTTATTATTATTTGGGCTCCTGAAGTCACCTACTTCTCGTATCTGTGGCGGAGGTGTCGTGGAACGCCATTCTGCAGGACCTGGCTTGCTGACTGTGTTCCGTGACCTCACGCTGGTAACTTAAAATCAGCCAAGAGGCATCTGCCTGCAAAGGCTTCAGGTCGGCTTCATGTATTGTGTATGGATCATCTGTTTAAGACAGCGATGGAGAAAATGATGTTAAACATGTAGATTATGTTTAAAAGTGTGTCTTGTCTTGGGCTGTTGCGTTGTGAATAGCACACGGAAAATTGAGGAAGTCTTGTGTTTTCGGACCATTTATCGGATTTAGTGAAGATGTTGCTCAACATGACTGGCAAGCCAGTGAGCGTGGACATCTTTGTCATCCCAGGCCATCTGTGTCTTTAAAGGAACAGGATCAACCAATATTCAGTTGTCACTTGGAATCCCGGGTGGCTCTGGGGACAGGAGTGGGAAAAATCAAGGGAGGTAATCTGTCAGAATTGACTATGGAATTTGCAATGAAAAGTATTTTATATATGTATTTCGCAGATTCTGTGCTGCACATTTTTGCCAACAAAATTGATAATAAATGCACATAGTCATTTTCCCCCCTCTGGAGAGCTGGTTGCTAGGCATTTGCTAGCACACCGGTGTCTCCGGGCCAGGCCAGCTCCCCCAGCCCCATAACGTCCCCACCATGTAGGTCTGCCTGCTGGTCAACACAAACCAGTGGGATCTCAGCTTGTTTTTTATTTTTTTAAAGTTCTTATTTATTTTTTTAATGTCTTTATTTTTGAGAGAGAGAGAGAGAGAGAGAGCAAGCTGGGGAAGGGCAGAGAGGGAGACACAATCTGAAGCAGGCTCCTGGCTCTGAGCTGTCAGCACAGAGTCCCATGTGGGGCTTGAACCCACCAACTGTGAGATCATGACCTGAGCTGAAGTCCGACACTTAACTGACAGAGCCACCCAGGCACCCCTGAATCTTGGCTTCTTATTCAGGACGAAAGGGGCTGGGGTGGGCGGAGAAGTCCCCACAGAGCAGATGACCTGGAGGGGCCTTAGCAGGAGGTAAGGGAATGAGGGAGGCAGAGTTGGGAGAGTGGCCTGCACTGGCCAGACGGGGGGGTTGTGGGATGGGCAGTGAGGCTGCGGATGTGGAGGCGAATGCCATTTGCCTGACTCACTTCTACCCGTTCTCAAAGAGTCCCTCCTGAGTGGGCAGAACTGGCATTGAGCTGACACCTGTGAATGTCCCCCCCTCCCCCCATATTGGCAATGAAATTATCAAGCGAATTGGTTGTTCTGTGAAAAGGAAGCAAGTGCAAAATGACCTCTAAAGGCCCAAGGAGCTGTTAAGACGGGAGAAAAAGGTCTGCCAGTCCAGCTCCATGAGAAACGGTTTATTAAGGGGGCTTACAGGCAGAAGGCCGTTTGGAGTGGCTCTGGAAACCCCCACCTCCTGTCAGACCTGCTGGAGGCTGGGAGTCCATAGTGGGGGGGGGGGGGCACTCAGGAGGAGCGTGTTTGAGTCATGCACCAGAGCCGATCAAGGACCTCCCATACTCAAGGGTGTGGTTAAGTAAAAGGGAAAGAATGTGTGTGTGTGTGTGTGTGTGTGTGGTGCCGCACTTCAGAGTGATCATTGTGGCTGTTTGTCCAAGATCGCTTTAGTCTGGGTCACACGCTGGCAAATGCCTGTTACCGCCTGCCCCCATTGCTAGATGCTTCCTCTGGACTTCTGCCCTTGCTGTCCAAAACCTTGCCCTTGGTGCAAGTTGTTGGGGGAAGGGTGCTTCCCAGAACCCTTGGTCCAGGGGCCAGCTTCCGGCTACCCTGGAAGCCCGGTTGTTGCCTATTTTGAGTAGCACCCGGTGACCCAAGTCCTCTGGGGTAGCTGATTGGGCCAGAGTGGACACATGACTCGAGCTGGGCCAATCACGTCCCCTTGCACAGGAACAGGGGCAGGCCTGGCTCTACCGAGGGTATTGATCAGGAATCGGAAGCTGTACGTGAGACAGAAGCATGGAGGGAGCCACGTGCAGACACAGAAAGGGGGAAGGAAGATGTATGGGGATTCGCAGATGAGACCAAAGAGCCCTAGAGAGACAGAGGAGCTACCTAGGTTCCCTACTTGTCTCTTCCAGGTGATGTGGGGAAACCCTAGTGGCGTTAGTTTGCTGGGGCTGCTCCAACAAAGTGCCATAAACTGGGTGGCTTAAAGCACCAGATAATTACTGCCTGCCAGTCCTGGAGGCCAGAAGTCCGAATTCGAGGTGTTGGCAGGGCCAGGCTCTCTCCAACAGCCCTGCCTCTTCCAGCTTCTGGTGGGTGCTGGCCCTCCTTGGCGTTCCTTTCCTGGCTACTGACGTTACTCTCATCTCTGCCTCCACTGTGGCATGACTGTTTCCCTTCTGTGTGTCTCGTGTTTCTCTTCTGTTTGTATAAGGACACTGCTCTTGCTGGATGGAGAGCCTCCAACTTCCTACTTCAGTATAACCTCATCTTAATTTAACTGGTAATATCTGCAAAGACCCTATATCCAAATAAGGTCACACTCTCAGGTTCCAGAAAGGACACGAACACCCCACACCCCACCCCACCCCACCCCGCGGCCGTCGGGGGTGGGGGTGGGCGACATTATTCAACCTAGTACATTTAGTGTCTACCCTTAGCAGCCATGAGAAACTTGGGTGCCCTCCCATGAATTTCCTTCTGGGGTGGGTTCTGTTCCATGCTGCTCGAGGATGCAGGCTTTCAAGGTTGTTGGTGCCTTTCTTGGTAGTTTTGGGGTCTGAGAGTCTGTCCTACTTCCTGGGTTATTTGGGTCTGGGCGTGTCCCACGACAAGGATACTTAGGCCGCATAATCGTAGGATGTTACCAATACCCAAGGTATACAGATGGAATTCGACAACAGTGACAGTAATTACAGCTGACATTTATTAATGCTTACTGTTCCCAGGCACTAATTGCTTTGCAAAGACTCCAGCAGGAAGCTACTATTTTATTTTAATTCTCATTTTACAGGCAAAGAAACGAAGGCCGAGGGAGGTTAGCCCAAGATCACACAGCTAATAACAGAGTGGTTGACAGTGTGAGTTGTAGAACCAGGCTTCCTGGAGCCCTAGTCACTTCCAAGTGACCTCATAGAATACAGAAAAGTTGGGGTCGAATAGTGTCCCCCCCCCCCATTCATATGTGGAAGCCCTACCTGCTCAGGACCTCAGAATGTGACTGTATTTGGAGATAGGGTCTTTACAGAGGTAATTGTGTTAAAAGGAGGTCATTAGGCTTGGCCCTAATCCAGTATGACTGGCATCCTTGTAAAAAGGGGAAATTTGGAGATAGACACACACACACAGGGAGAATGCCATGTGATGGTGAGGAGGCACATCAATAAACCAAGGCCTGGGACAGACCCCTCCCTTGCAGCCTCAGAGAGAACCAGTCCTGAACACACTTTGATTTTGGACTTTTGGTCTCCGGAACCGTGAGAGAATAAATGTTTTGTTTAAGACACCCAGTTTGTGCTACTTTGTTGTGATAGCCCTAGCCAACTGATACAGATGGTTACAGGATTCCCTTGCATTTAAGAGACACTTAATGCACAGTGCCAGGCTCTTGATAAGCACTCGATACATTTCACACCAACTCACACATGGAATTCTACAGTGACATATGGGTGTGTGACAAACAATGGAATGCCTGAGTGGCTCAGTCCATTAAGCGTCCAACTCTTGATTTCTGCTCAGGTCATGAGCTCATGGTTCATGAAATAGACCCCTTCATCGGGCTCTGTGCTGACAGTGTGGAGCCTGCTTGGGATTCTCTCTATCCCTCCTCTGCTAGTGCTCTTTCATCTCTCTCTCTCTTTCAAAAATAAATAAACTTAAAAAGAAAACAACAACAAAGGAGAGGGGGTACAATGGCACATCTGTGATGTCAAAAAGACACCCTTGCCAAGATAGGGGTTATAAAGTTATAAAGGCAATTCTAGAAAGATGTGGTGTTGCAAAGACAACCACAGAGGGGCGCCTGGGTGGCTCAGTCAGGGCTCCCGTCTCGATGATCTCTTGGTTGGTTGTGCAATCTAGCCCCATGTTGGGCTCTGTGTTGAGTGTGGAGCCTGGTTAAGATTCTCTCTCTCCCTCTGCTGCTCCCCTACTCTCTCTCTCTCTCTCTCAAAAAATAAAATAAAAACAAAAATAAAAAAGCCTAAAAAAAAAAAAAAAAAAAAAAAAAAAAAAAAAAAAAAAAAAAAAAGACGACC